AAAAAGTGTTTTCTGAAATAAATTACATACCCCATTGAATTATGAAAGAAGATCGTCAGCTGTCTTCCTCTCCCGTGTTGTTCCTCGATAAAAGGCTGCAGCACCTTTGACAACTTCTCTCTAGATATCAAACATACCGGTAAACCAGCATCGTTTGCTGTGAAAGCATATAACTCTGTCCACACAGTAAATTAAACTCCTGTTCGTTCCGTCCGGTTTACTTTTTCTTTGTAATTTACTCCAATTAGGTTCGCTCACTCGACGGCCGGGGGTCCCCGCGCGAGTGCCTCCAAGAAAAGGCGCTCGCGCGGGACCGTAGCAGGATGTGACGCATATTTTAGTTGACCTAATTAAAACCGTTTTGTTTTTTATTTATGTGTCACAGTATCACCTCAAAATACAAGATACGAAACATTTTCAACCGTGCAACAAAATATAAATAGTCCTACAAGTACTTTTATTTTATTTCCTTCTTATTTTTGTCTAAACTCAAGGGAGCCAGAGCAGAGGGCTTAAAGGGCAGCATGCGGCCCGTGGGCCGCAGGTTGCCAACCCCTGGATTAGAGCGATGCGAATATTGGGTAGTCTACCACAGTATTTACATGGAGATAAGCCCCTTAAAAACCATGAATTAATAAAGCATTAATTCTGTGTTTACTCCTGTCATTCAAACAAGACGCTGGAGAGGGGGCGGGGCGCATCTCCATGTAAATCCTATCGGGATCGGATCCATCAGGCTAAACTAACCTGTAGCAGCTCCCTCCACACCATGGTCCACACTCACAACAATGTCATACAGACATAAATAAAGCAGCGACTGTATTCGCCATGACATAGACGGTCTGTGTTTTGTATATGTTTAAGTTTTGTCCAGTTTCTGAACAGATATGAGGAGCTGTGAGCTCTGAGTGTGTGCTAACAGCTAACAGCTGATGTGTTGGGCCAAGCGTCGTTTCTTGACTGGCAGCAAAAACAACCAATCACAGCAGTGCTTCTCTGGCTGGCTCTGTCCAATCACAAACAAGAAGTGTCCTCCCTAAGGAATACCCATTCCGTCCAATGTGAAATGCTGTGGTGTTTTCTGAAATGCTGCAGCGTTTTGTGAAATGCTTTGGCGTTTTGTGAAATGCTGTGGCGTTTTGTGAAATGCTGTAGTGTTTTCTGAAATGCTGTAGCGTTTTCTGAAATGCTGTGGTGTTTTCTGAAATGCTGTTGCGTTTTGTGAAATGCTGTGGCGCTTTGTGAAATGCTGCGGCGTTTTGTGAAATGCTGTTGTGTTTTGTGAAATGCTGTGTTGTCTTGCACTTCAGGGCCACTATAGTCTTGAGCCTTTTTGATGGTAATATTAATTGATATTAGAGGACCACAGTGTACCTGTATCTTTCCTTGTACCCCAGTGCTGTCCATCCTGCTGGCTACGTTCACTGTGTTTCCCCAGATGTCATACTGAGGTCTTCTGGCTCCAATTACTCCTGCCACCACTGGACCCACATTGATACCTGGACAAAAAAATGAGGGGGGTGAAAAACACATCTTAAAGTGTTTAATAAATGGATGCACAGGTTTAGGCTGATTTTTATTTGTTTATATATTGAATATAATGGAAGTCAACACTGATTTTAGGGTATCAGATGAGACACAAACGCTGGTCTCCTGGGTGAAAGTCACATGTTTCACCCACTCATCCATCCAAACTAAATGCATTAACCTTGTCTGAGAATGCAATTTAAAGGGGATAAGGCTGTTGAATGCTAAATAACACATATGTGTACAGTTTAACATCTGTGACAAAGTGATCGCTGCACATCCAGAAAAATTATCCAGTGTGAGACAGATTTCTTTTTTTCTTGTTGTTATTGTTTTTATCGAAGCAAGCATCTATACTCAAAACAACTTGAGTAATGCAAAATAAATTACATCATAGATGTCCATGCAAAATCAATGTTGTTGCTTCATCTTTACAGTCACAGTTCTGCAGGTTTTAGATATTGGAAAGCAACATGACAAATGCTGAATTGAAACTAGGCCAATCTTTGTTTTTGTGCACTTCCTCGAAATCCAGCATTACGCAAATGACCAAATGTTGCGTTTCTGCAATGGGGGTTCAGCCAAGCACACACACACATTGAGCCCCGCAGTCTGCAGACAGGATGGCACTGTGTACACCAGACTACGCTGGGATTAAACAAGCGCTCCTGCCGCAGGCTCCCCACAGGATACCCAACACAATGGAACCCAGAACTTCAGGTCTCGATGTGACGAGCTTCCTGCAGGGTTCGCTCTTTCTGTGATGCATTTCCCTTTAAACTTACTGGCACTGAGCGTCAGTGGTGCCCAGTGCAATAGGTCACCAGCTACAGCGCCAATGTTTATGTAGACCAATGTTTTTATGCATGCGTGTGTATTTTCGCTCACCCACTCTCAGGACAAAGTCGTTGTAAGACTGGTAGTTGATGGCATCCAGGACGTCAAACATTTCGATGGCGAAATCTGAAACTGTGCATAAATGTGAAGTGATGGACTTCTTCACCTGTGAATCAGAAACAGACATATCAGGAAAAGACACATTGATGCACATACAGGCATGCTAACAGCCAAGGTAGGAAGTGATATTACCCTTCAGATGTGTTTCCTTTATGTGATTATACACATTGCAATCTAGGACGAACCAGTTGTTTTCTTTCAAAAGTGAAACCACCTTTGTGACTGACTGTTAAGTTTGCAAAAGTTGCAGAAAGGGCCCTTTTGTTTGTCAGCTTTGCAGGATTTAAAGAATTTTTACGAAGGCAAAATGCACGAAAAATGGGGCAAAGCCTGCAAACTAGTTCAGGCAGTCAACTCGAGCACCAATGATACATTAACACGTGACGCACCTCGTCCCTCTTACAACCAGCCAAACACATTCTCCTAAACATGCCGCTCTATTTAAGCCGCCAGGTCTTCCTGCCTCTGCCTCCTCGCTATGCTGCTGCTGCCACTGCTGTGTTCACTTGCTATTGCTACNACCCGAGCTTCCTCCCCAGCTTCCACCCCAGCTTCCACCCCAGCTTCCACCCGGCTTCCACCCCAGCTTCCACCCCAGCTTCCACCCCAGCTTCCACCCCAGCTTCCACCTGTAGGCTCGGGGGATAGTTATCTAATCATCACTCAATGTTCTTTGTAAATCTGTGGAGTGATGAGGCCCGAGCCTAGATGCCAAACTCAAACTATATGCTGCTTATAATAAACATATTAAGAAACACGTGAGTTGTCTGACTGAAATATGCTGATGCCACAGAGGCCGGTAATCCTTCACGGAGGATTTGTGGGGTGAAACGTGACAGCATTGTAAATATCAAGACACAGGAAATAGCTACCTGCATATACTAGGCCTCTCAAAGTGGCCGTGTGCACTTGATTTTTTTTTTCAATGCGCTGATTCCCTGCAAACACACAGAAAAGTTTACACGGAATCTTAATATAGCTACAACAAGTATACCATGGAGGCAGTTGTAGGAACCAGCCCTACTGCAGCCATGTATGTACTGCCAATAGTCTTGATTTTCTCGATATCCCTGTAGCACTCCTTGTCCATCAGCTGAAAGGAGGGAACAAAATAGGTAAACAGGGGGGAAGCATTACCACCATTTTCAAATTGGAATAAAGTGTTAGTTCTTATATATCATAGGTTGTCTTGGTAAAATGTAATATTTTGGCGTGTTTGAGCAAATGAATGCTTCAAGATGCTGATTATAGATTCAAGCAGGCCAACAGTCATCTGTAAGTAATTCCTTAATTTGGAGGACTTTCCCACCAGCAACCATAGCTTATTATGGTATGCTGCGTTGATAAACACAGTATGTTTCTGACCGTCGTGGCCACAATGTCATCTTTAAAAATGATGTTATTGAGGTCATATTGCACCAGAGCTTTACCTCAGATTCTCAAAAGGTCAACATGGGGTAAAGATATACATAAAAACTGATTTACGATACATCATCAAGAATGTTCTCACCTCATCAAAGTCAGCGATGATCTCATTGAGCAGCCGAAGGCACTCAACGCCCATGTTGTTGCCGTCTAGCTCGATGTAGAAGTCATTAAAGTTGGCGATAGAGGCGAACAGCACTCCGACCTGGGCGTAGGACTGGTAGTACAGATCCTGGAGGGGGAAAAACAATTATTCAAAACTGCATTCATTAAATGGTTTTAGTTTCTGTCCCGATAAGTTCTGAGATATCTTCCTTTGAGATGTCTGCCTACACTAAGGAACGAATTGTAAAAAAAAGTGTCCGTAACCTCGAACATTTTATTTATTATTTTAAAACAAATAGTCACACACAAAACTCAAAGTGTTCTGTGGACTATCCAGACTAACGGAGAAAGATACAATGCTTTTTGTATGCCATTTTCAAGTGCTGTCAGACACAATTATTCAATAAAATTGTACATGGGTCAGTCCTTTAACTGAACTCATATTGTACACATTAATCCTGGTAAAACTATGCAACAGTACAGTAGGCCCACACAAACTGCAGAACACCGTTGGCTTTGGGAACACTCAAAATTACTTAAAATTATTTAATTCCCATTTAACCTGTTAAGGGGCTTTCCCCCCCCGTTTTTTTTCTCACGAAACTATGTCTCAGGGCTTCTTAAAATGTAATAAACTATTCATGTGTCCTACTCATTTAACGGGAAGAAACTCAGCTAACTGAACCATTTTTACCGAAACAAAACACAAGTCTCACAAGAAGCGTCTAAATGAGCCCTGAGCGAAAAAATGCTAACGCACTCTAGGTATAAATCAATCGATATACTTATCGGATATGCACAAACAAGTTTAGCTAACAAGCTGAGACTCCACAGATTCTAGAAATATAAGTATCATCACTGAGCGATCAGAACTCATGACAGACGAAGCAAATACAGACATCACACGACGTAGCTTCAGGTAGCAAAACACGGAGATATGCTCACCTTTTGCTGTTATTCTGATCAAAAACGAGAAAAACGCGGCTGAAGGTTAATCCATAGGTTAATCCAATGTGTCTGTCACTTTGAAAAAATTATTGATAATCCATAATTCCATTTTTATGTCAAAAACGGAGTTTTCATATTAGCTGCTAATGATAGCTTCCAGAGTGTATGACAGCTTCCTGTTTTTGTCTCCTTGGATATGATACAAGGATACTCACAGACTGCATCGGGCGCTGACATAGGCGCCCTGTGACCATCAGATTTGACTACGCTGATTGGCTGAAATTATGTTTCGGCGGCATAGTTTAAAGATAGCAACAGTTGGCTTCTGCTGCACTTGTTGCATTCTCGTCTGGGCGCTGAGAGGGTAATGATACACGGGCAAGGCCAGGCAGAAAACATGTGACTTATCAGTAACTTTAGACATCGTAACACAATTTTAAACGAGATTTTATTGTAGATTATGCATTTTACTGATACCAATTATATAATATTTACCTTGTTTATTAAAAATAAAAAAATAAAAAAAATTCTTTAAATATATATATTTTTTAATGTGGGAAGAGGGGGGGCGGCGCCCCCAGCTCCCCTATGGGCCGGCCGCCACTGGTAACAAGGTATAATTCATATGGTCTTTACTATGGTAATTGTAATGAAAACTTCTGGAGCATGGAGTCGAAACACAATGAGACACGGAAGAGCTCGAACTTGATGACAAAAACTGAAGATTTATAAGAAGAACGACTTATGCTGCAGACACAAAGTGACACAGCGCTTGACGTAACCAATTCTGAAGATTTCTCACCCAGTCCCATGTCTTTATCTCTATCAGCTGACGCCAACGGGAAGGAATAAGGAGACAAAACACTTGCAAAGCAGCAAGGTTGCAGGCCTGTTATCAGCGAGAAAACTGATAAACTGAGTCAAAGTTATGGACCTTGAAAATATTTCATCAACAGTTATTAATCTTTAGTCAATAATTATGTGTTTTCCGTGTTTTTTGTCTCAGATTTATACTTGTGTTATACTTGAGCATTGGATTCATACAATGATTTTCTCACCATATATTCTACATCCAAGTTCTTAATGTGATTTTGTATTACTTGCACATAATGCATACTTTTAATGAATTAAGATGTATTTCGATGCTTAAATAGAGTTCCCATGGGATAACCAGTAGTTAGAAAAGAACATAAAAGACAGATGCATTGCAGCTGACTGTTAAGAAAATTCAAAAGAACTTCATTTTCACATTGTCTGTGAGAGCAAATTCAGCATATCAGGTGCTGAGTTACCAATAAATGTCAAATAAAAGAACCAAAGAGAACTGGGACCTATTTGGTTCCATTTAAGTCCAGCAACAGACGAAATGCACCGTAGTTCCCATGCAACAAAAACAAATATTATTTTATTATGTTGGAGCGGTGAAACTTTGTATTCCTGGCAGCGCTGTGTTATGAATACAGTGTACGGTGAACTTTAGCCCAGAGGAAAGAGAGGAAGCCTTTCTATATACTGTAGCTGCGAGTGCTCACCAATGTGCCGGAAACAAACTTCCTGACTTCCTGCTCCCAGTGTTTACTAGTCTCAGCCTCAGATGATCCCTGCACCGTCTGATGCACAGCCCTCTGATTGTTGAGGGATAAGGACCACCTAATCTATATTTCTGTTATTATTAGAAAATCTCATGACAGGACCTAAACTAACAATGCATTTAACCTTATAACCTGCACTGTGTGTGCGGCCGTAGCCTATGAGTGATGCATCCATGCACATAGTGCTGCAGTGTCGTCCAGAAAGCTATTTAAAACTAAAAAGGGCCAAATTCGAATGAGAAAATAAATATCTGTTATGATGGATTCATGTCATAGACTTGATTTAATCTCATCAAATGTTCATTGATGATAATAGAAAGCCAAAACAAAGCATTGCAAATATTTATCTTAAAATAGTATCTCCTGTAGCTCTGCAATAACTCTGTCAAGTAACACCGGATGATGTCACTGTGTTGATATCGTGGACATTTCAGCTCAGGATTAAAGACTTTGATATACAGACTAGGGATATGGAGTTTCAATCACAACATGTGTATTGAAAAGAAGCTGTCTATGTGCATTATGGTAAATGTAGGATCTGCATTTTTAGGAGCTTGACCCACATCTGGGACTCCTAAAACTTACAAGATTAAATCACTGGTTTACATTTTCTGCAATTTTCTAAAACACTTTTAAAGTTTTCTTGCAGGTGTAAACTTTGCATCATTAACACCCCCCTTGTGGTCAATGTTCTTGTAATTATTGAGCTCATTCTTGAGCTCATTATGCTACCATAGTTGTTTTTTAAAGCTGTTCAATTAGGGCTTGCAAATTAAAGCTGTTTTCTAATCTTAGTTATCTTGTATTTAATGAATGCTTTGTACCATACGAACAATTATCCCCTTGTGAATGCAACCATGTATGGTAAATATTCACAATGTTATATATATTTGGCAATGCTAAGCTGATTTTAGAATTAATGTAAAATCAAAGTTTGCCACATTTTTGCATCAAGGATTTTGAAAAATGTATATAAATGTAATGCATATTTTAGCTTTTAACAGGATAATTTGGGTCTGCTTTGTTGCCCTTGGTTATCATTTAAAAAAGGACTGACAGGATGTACATTCACAAGTTTTAGGTACTAAATGTTGACATTGCCAACCAAAATTTTCCATACGATCAGTTTTTTAGCCTGGAGAATCTGTACACAGCGTTAGAGTTTACAAACTGAGCTTGTACTCTTGAGGGGCTTTGAATGTCCTGAAAGGATGTATGTTTTCATCACTGAGAAAGGGAAGAGGGGGGCGAGGAAGGAACAGAGATCAGGGGAGGGGATGTGCATCACTCAGTGGACACAGACACACAGCTGTCAGCTCACACTCTAACCCAGTGGTTCCCAACCTGGGGGGCGCGCCCCCCTTGGGGGGGAGCCAAAGATCGCAGGGGGGGTGCCAGGTCTCAGATGATTTGAGGCCAAATATCATATTTAGACTTTTTTTTTTTTATTTACATTTTTTTAATTTTTACATATAATTGTAAAGCAATACATGAATATCACTAAAAGCCTTGTCTCTACATTACAATACAATATAACAAATAATTAATTAATTAATTTGAATACAAATTCAAGTTAGTAGCTATTAAAGGCATAACAAGACAGAAATGTATAATTCTTTCTTTACTAGAAATGTTTCTTCTGCCCGTAAAGTTTCCAAACCAGGCTTTTCTGGATAAGCGCATTTTTAAAACATAGTCATTGTCCATGCCGGTTTCAGTTGGATTATTTGTCACAGTTGCTCCGATCAGATCGGTCTCCTCCATTTTGTAGATTATTTATGACTTTTGAATCCACATAAACACATCGGCAAAATCCGGCTTACTTTGAGCATGTGTTTTAAACAGTTTAATCCCTTTCGTGAATTGTTTCCACTTGCGGCGCCCTTTAATTTTCTTCATACAGCGGGCATCCAAATTAATTAATCCTGAGTCCAATAACCATCAAAGTCACTCAGCAATAGTGCTCCTTAATTACGCTTTCATCCTCCTTTAATAAAATACTTCACATTCATCCAGTTTGTGACAGTAGTTGTAGCATTTTTGAGACTTTTAAACTTTAATTACCGCTGTTGCGCCCCCCCCTCCCCTTGTGTGT